GCTATTTCCACGTGTGTAGACTCCGGTAAGTACTCGCACATAATACATGTGCTTTTTCCCATTTGCATCTGGTCTGGAGTATGTATTATTGGCAGAATAACTGGCATTGACAGCAAAATAGGTTCCCTTTCCATATGCCACAGCTGTGAAGAGAAAAACAGTTTGGAGAATTTTAATTTAGTCTGTAATTTGATGTATTGACACAGTATACCAAATAATGTTAAAATAATGTTCAGTTCTTTTTTCTAAAAGCTCTTAAAATTTTTTTCTATATTTTTAATTAAAAAAAAAAAAAATCACTCCTCTACCCCAGAGGGCCAGTCAGTCCCTTTCAGATAAAAACATAGTGAGTCACACCTGAAACTTTGGCTGCAACATGGCCACCGACTATGAGGGAACACAATGCAATCCACATGGTCCCTTAGTCAGTTTGGGTTCTCATGGCTGACACCCCATTTGCAGCAGCCACATTACTTGCTTCCTTACCATTCTTTCCAGCATAACTGCGGTTAAAGCCATGTTGGTTGACATGTGGCAATGAGTCAGCATCTGTCCCATGGAAGAGCTGCCGCTCATTTGTTATATTACGATTTTTGGTGTCCATGATCCTTTTCTGTGTCTGGTAGCTCTCCCAGAGACTTGGATTCTGGATCCTCTCAATCTGCAAATCAATAAGGAAAAATATTCTATTGGTGCCAAGAACCCTTGGCAAGATACAGCAAGAAGAACACGACCACTATTTGTTATAAGTAGAAATTACAGTAAACAGCAAGTTCAATGCCAGGTGGCCGCTTTCTGCATTCAGAAATCTTTTTAGATCCAGTGTTTCACAAATCAGGCCTTGGGAAAAATGTTGATTTAATTTTTAACATCTTTTATGTACCTCATGAGAGCAAACAATGTTTAGGATCTTGGCCGACCAAGCCACTCTAACTCTTGCTTTTTACTTTCACGGTAATAACTGCTCCTGTTGCTGTCTACCTCACTTTGCCACTTTGCCTCTCTCCTCCTCAGTCCTTCTGGGATACTGCTTTACCTAGCCAAATTCTAACTATGTCAGAGAAGCACTGGAGTGTCTAGGCAAGAAGAAAATGAATGAAAATCAATCTCTCATGCAGTTGGAAAAGTAGGACATAAATGCTGGTGGCAAGGAATTTGGTTGCAGACCAAAGTGGCCATGCTTTGACCATACTCTTTGGACAGTGGTGTCCAGGGCTATGGTGGAAACTCCTTAGGTCCTGGAAACTTACCTAATTACCAGGTCATGGTAGTTTCATAAGTTTGTCCTGGGAAAACGTGAGGGGTGGGTGAGGGGGGCTAGGCCCCTCATGGAAAGGCATAAGGTGAAGGAAGGTTCCAATGTTGTCAGGATCTTCCTCCATTCTAGAGAACTCTTGGTTCTAACACTAATAACTGCCTTTATCTGTGTGTTTTTTTTCTTCTTCTTCAGTTTTGGGTTTCCTACTTTTAATTAAGATACAATTTCTCCTCTAGTTCAAAGTCTCAGCATTATCATGTATTTTGTTGATCTCATTTGTGATTTAAAATTTTTTCTTTTTACCTAAATTTAAGTTTCTATTCTTTAAACTGCCTATTTTCATTTTATTTCTAATTACCTTAAATTTTATTCATTTTCAAAAGCCATAAAAATTTCTCCTTATAGAATTTTGAAACCATTCTTAATTTCTTAGTCTTTTTATTCTGGCTTTCTGACCTTTATTAGTATACCTGCTGCTGAAGTGAACACTCGCCCTTTTGAAATTTAATAACCGCACAAAGAAAATAATTATTTCAAGTAATTTTGAAAATAGTAATCTGATTCTATATTCCTGGTGGTATAACTTATAAGGTAAAAGGAAACCAGTGCAAATAAATCTTAAACTTTACTAAGTAGGTTTATTTTAGAAGCCAGCTTCTGGCTATGGTAGACAACTCATAACAGACTAATCCTCTTGCCAACAACTACAGAAGACAGTATGATAACTTCTTCAGAGTACTTAAAGAAAATAACTGCAAATGCAGGATTCTACACCCAGCAAAAATATCCCTCAAAGAATAAAAGTGAAATAAAGACATTTTCAGACAAAAACTGAGACTACCAGAAACATCAGTACCAGATCTACACTGGAAGAAATACTAAAATGAGAGGGGAAAATGATCCTAAGATGGAGGCATAGAAATAGAAGAATTGAAGGGTAGTGGCATGAAAGGGTAAATATGTTGGTAAATATAAATACTGACTGTGTAAAAAATTAAAACATTTTATGGGGTTTCAAATATGCATAGAATTAAAATACATGTTGAAAGTAGTACAAAAGGTAGGAGGGGATAAATGGGTTTAAAGTGTTCAAAGTTTATTGCATTGTTTGCGAAATGATAAATATACTAATTTGTATTAAAGTTTAATAAGTCAAGGATGTACACTGTAATCTCTAGGTAACCGACTGAAAGAATTGTAATGGAATGTATAATCGACAATCTAATAGGGCATAAAAATGAAATAATAAAAATAC